TTGTTAACTTTTTAAACATTGTAATTATATATGTCATTAAATCAATAACAATTTGTACAATATAATATTAAATATTGTTGCTAAAAATTTAAAAAAATATGAATTTTAAACAGAACTGCCATTTGGCACCAAGTTGGATGCCACAGTTAGAATCACTAGTAGAACAACTGTCGCGGGGAAAGAATCACCGCGATTTCCGCTTATGGCTAACTTCAGCACCCTCCCCGGACTTCCCCGTCAGTATTCTACAGAACAGCAGTAAAATGACGATAGAGCCCCCTAGAGGCGTAAAGGTACGGAAGAAAAAAGTATTCGAGATTCAAAGCTTCCGTTATTCATCGAAAAACTTCTCATTTCATCTCTATTCTTCCACGAACTAATTTCGAAGTGAAATATATTGTATTGATTCTCGAACTTTTCACTCTCGTCGTAGTCACGTGACTATGTACAACGACGTCGTATAAGGAAATGGCGCGTTTTTCCCTTTCTTAGGCGAACATGTTCCGCGCCTATCTCACACAAGTGGTAGAAATGCAAAGCTTTCTACAGTCTGCTCATCCGAAGGTTCAACAGTTCAAGTGGCTGGTATTTTCTTTGTGCTTGTTTCACTCGGCGTTACTGGAACGTAGAAAATTCGGCCCACTGGGATTCAATATACCGTACGAGTTCACTGACGGTGATTTAAGGATATGTATATCACAACTGCACATGTTTCTTTTGGAATACGAGACTGTACCGTTTAAGGTATCTTTAATCTACAGTATGCTTGATATAAGTAGTACTTAACCTCTTAATTGACAGATGTAGTATAATACGTATAGCAAACAAATTAACTCGTGTCTAATACAATAGTGAAATTAAAACCTCAGAAATTCATAGATATGTAAATAATAGATTTACTTAACCAAGGAAAGACGCATTTCATTCATTTCTTTTAAATTAATTCCTTTTCCATGATTATGAGGTCATGTTCGTCTGCGAAGGTGCTGATATATACAGCTGGTCATATCAACTACGGAGGTCGAATAACAGATGATTGGGACCGTCGATGCGTGTTAACTGTCCTGCAAGATTTCTACAGACCGATGATTCTATCATCAATCTACAAATTCGATGAAGCTGGACGTTACTATCAAGTAAAATTACCATAACCTTTTCTACATTTTAATGTGATTTGAAAGTACCAACAGGTGTTATTTTTACAATGTTCAAAAATTATCATTCTCTTTTTCTTATAAATAATTCGCATATTTCGATTTGTTCCACAATTTTGAAACACCTTGTACATAACCTTGACATTTTTCCTTATTCCTTGATTTTCCACGCGTTCCAGTTAGAAGACACGGCAACGTTCGATGAATACATCGAGTACATAAAAACATTCCCCTTGAACGATGACCCGTCATTGTTCGGAATGCATCCGAACGCAGACATCAGCTTCGCACAAGCAGAGACTTATGCTTGTCTAAACACGCTACTCGCTCTTCAGCCACGAGAAATTGGCACTGCGGCCGCCAGTATCGAAGAGGTTACCAGCCAATTAGCTGAAGATATGTTGGACACAATACCGCCTATGTTCAGCTTAGCTGCTGTGCAGCGAAAGTACTTCGTGTTCAATACATTATCCATGATAGTATGATGTGAATTTATGTTCAAACTTGATTGACACTTTAAAGATTATTCAACTGTGTACTCTGTCATAACCTTAATGCATTCTGATTGCTGAAAGGTTATAATATTGCAATGGTGGAATGTGGATTATGTAGTGTAAAAATGATCTGGAATAACCAATTAATATTGGATTAACTATAGAACAATTATATTTATTTTTTGTTGCTTTTATATTATAATAGTTTCCTTTTTATGTATAAATATATTTTAAATTCTTATACTTTCAGTATTTGTGTATCTTTGTACTCCTGTTTTTCCTTTAGGTAAAGTGAACTGTCGATACTTTAAAACAAGATAATAAAATTCCACTCTGTCGTGGCTAAGAATATCTTTTATTAAATTATCGAATTCGATATGAGAAGTTAAATGATACTTATTATCGCAGATATCCAGTCTCGTATGAAGAGTCATTTAACACCGTGCTACTTCAAGAAGCTATACGCTATAACGGTCTCCTAAACGTAGTAAAATCAACACTGATGGATTTACTGAAAGCTTTGAAGGGGCTGGTCGTGATGTCTGAGCAATTAGAAACTGTGTTGAATAGTCTGTACAATAATAGAATACCAAAAGTTTGGCAGGATAAAGGTTATCCATCCTTGAAACCTCTCGGTAATTTTTTATTCGGGTTTTAATATTAAATATAAACAGAACAGCCAATATAAAAAGATATTTGAAAGTATTATTCGGTAGTCGATAGACTATTTCAATGTGATTTATTGTATGCACAAATAGAAATTTTCTTGCAGTATTAAATTTGTAAAAATAGAAAACAATCGAAAGCAATATAATGCAACGTTGTGTCCTATCAAGATATTAAGGTTAGGTTATTATGAGACGAGATTTTATTATTAATAACAGGGCTAGTTTAAATTTAAATTTCAAATTTTAACATAAATTGAACATTTTTTATTCAAGTTTGAGCTGAAATTAAAAATTACAAATTCAAATTTAAATTTATGATGCAAAATTTAATCTACAATATTTTGAGAATAATGAAGCATTTAATTATATTGTTTATCTTTAAAATGTAAATACAGGTGCTTGGTTTCTGGATTTGAAACAAAGAATTACCTTTTTAAAGACTTGGGAAGATAAAGGTATACCTGCAGCGTTCTGGATTTCCGGTTTTTATTTCCCACAAGCCTTCTTGACCGGCACTCTGCAAAATTACGCGCGAAAATATGTTGTTTCTATTGATACGATCGATTTCAGTTTCCAGGTATTCTTAGTCGAAAAATCTATACCACTCAATCGTCATATTTATTTAAAAATTTTCGAATTTAAATACAAGGATGTTATAAAAATAAAGGTTTCGTCAATTTCATTCAATTCATACAGAATTGCTTCTAATGATAGGTGTTAAGCGCAATGCCAAAGCAGAAGCCGTTAGATGGTTGCGTCATTTATGGTCTATTTCTTGAAGGATGTCGATGGGATGGAGAATACTTGAATGAGTCTTTACCCAAGGAACTATACACCAGTAAATATAACAATCTATTACGAGATAAATTTTTGTAGAATACCTAACCATCTTTCAATAATATAATCACAGAAATACTGTCACTTACAATGCATTAAAAACGTCATAAAAAATATTACATATCGATTGAAATGAAGCTTCATAAGTAAATAAAGAATAAAAATATTATATTATTGTTAGTTTTATATTAACAATCGATAATTTATGAAGTGACGATAAGAATTATAGTTATCTACAGCCACTAAATGGTTATTTTAGTTAGAAGAATTATTTTGAAAATCTATTCTTACCAAATATTTCATAAGGTTAATAGTTTTATATTAGTCTGTGTGATAAATGATTTTTTTAACATCTTTTCAAAGACATGGAACCCATTCTACTATTACCGGAAGTGGGTCACGTACAACCAGAAGGAATCTACTCTTGCCCTGTTTATAAGACCATTAATCGAGCAGGAACACTGAGCACGACCGGACATTCGACGAATTTCGTGTTACCAATGGAGATTCCTAGTCAAAAAGCGCAGTCTCATTGGATTAAAAGAGGTGTTGCTCTAATCTGCGCTTTAGATTACTGACCATACTTCATGTGTCACATACGTATTGTTCCATTTCAAATAAAACTATTAAATTACTTATTTAAAGTATGTTTTTAATCATTTATTTTGCTGACTAAATATAAATAACTTCGAAGTGGAAGCATGCAATAGAATTAATTTTATTCTAACCTTTATTCTATTTTTTCATTTTAATTTAGATAAAGCCCGATACTATTTTTTTGTTTATAATTTTGATATAGTTTGTTAAGTCTACAGAATTAAAGTTACTAAGCCTTGCACATTTAAATCAAATTAAATTTTATTAATTAAATATTGTTTTCGTACATAAAAGGGTAAAACAACGGGAGCAAAACATGAAAATTGTTTCCTTATAGCAATTTAATTTATACTCTATTTAATAATACTTATTGTTAAATTTTTAAGATGTACGTGCTAACAAAGAATATCTCAATTAATTGAAATTGAACATAAACTTTTAATAAAATAACGAACTCGGAATATTTCGGAAACTATTTTATGTATCATTTTCATATAACTTTGGATCTTTCCTCTTTGATCTTTTGTGCTCTATGGGACACCAGTGCATGAGCCAGATCGTAAGTAGAGTAGCTGTAAAAAAAGGAATAACAATTAAATGTGTTAAGAGTCCATTATTTTCTTGTAATTAAAAATTCATAAATATTACTCTTATTGCTATAATATAAAAACTACAAAAACATTTTTTAATCTGAAATTTTAGAAATAATTTATATTACATGGAAGTATCGGCACAGAAGCTTGTAATGCTCGTTTGAACAGAGTTGGTACATTGTGCGAGAAAAATTTTACCCAAAATTTCTGATCGGTCGCGGATAAAGTATAAGTCACTATCTTTCTTATTCGAATTGGTAAATGTCCGAACTCTAAACCCATAACGCCTGTCGATCTCGATACTTCGTGGCAAAAACGCACAATCCAGAATATTAACGTGAAATTGACTTTTAAAAACAAAAGATAAAAAATATAAATTTGTCGAACATGGTTATAAGAAACAAAAGCCTAATGAAGAGTATGAGGATTTTTTTTTTTAAATAATAGTGTGGATATTTGAATAGATATATAGTATACAAAAAAAGGAAAGACCTGCTTCTTAATTACTTAAATGGCCAAAATTATTTATTCTGACATAATATATACATAAAACTCTACAAATACGTGTAGACGATACTAGAAACAATAAAACCAAAATGCGCAAATCAAAACATAAGTACAGAGTATGATGTAAAATTTGGCATGTAGTCTGTCCTTTAGAAATTCATTTCCTAAATTTAAAGTGAAGAGTAATTTGTAGGCATATGTTCTATGACTTTTGGGGGAATGACAAATTTATCTGGATTTTGTTCCAATAAACATCCCAAAAGACGTGGTACTGACAACACAGTGCCAGATATCACAGAGGGAAAGGCTCGTTCATTTGTTGCTTGATACGCGATCAGCAATCTTTTACTGAAATATTCGCCGCTCACGGATATATGACCAATTTCTACATACTGTTTTGAAAATGCCGACCATAATTCAAAAGACACACGCATCGATTCCCAAGGTCGCAATTCTGAAGCAGACCTCATGACAATTTGATAGTGATCACACAAATTATCATACAACGTGCAGACAGTATTCAGCAATTTTTCAAATTGAGAATGATATTCTTGACTACTCGAATCTTTGACTAATATAAAAGCAAGTGCAGCTGATGCTTGACAAACTGTAAACAAACCAATTGGAGTACAACCTGGTCGAAAAGGAGTATATTGTCTTCCAGTAGAAAAATATGCTACTGGAAAATGTTTTGGGTCTATCAGTTGTTTCGCGTGCATAGCTAAAAGTGAGATTAAACTTGCACCTCCAACAAGATGCATATGATTCGGTGAGTCTTTTTCTACTTCGCCGTGATTGTCTATTATAAAAGCATCTGCCGGGTCTTCATGGTTTAAACCAGAACCATTTACTACCAAACTGCGGCTAAAATCAGCTCCCGCTACTCTAATCATATTATCCTTGCTAAGTATTTTTCCTGCGTAACTTAATACACCAAGTTCAAAGAGAGCTGCATCATTGCACAAGTAATATTGCATAGGATTTTTATATTCTAATAAACCAAGACGTTTTCCAATTTCAATGTGATTTTTCCTATTTGCTGAATATGAATTTTCATTTAAAGAATTGACACGTTTCAATACCACAGGGGAATGAAATGGTGTTCTTCCATCGACTTCGTTGGGTAACTGCAACATTTTTTTTATTATACTTTCGTTTAAATCGTTAAGAGTATCTTTGACCGATTTTAAGTCTTGTTTTATGGTTTTGATTTGCAATTTTAATTTAAAAACTTCTAATTCTTCTTTTGTAGTTAGACTTTCCTTTTTGAAAAAAGGCTGCAATTCATCTGATATCTCTCGAGCTCTTAATAGCAATCTAGATTTATCTGAATTTATCATTTTATAAAATTGCCACATATTTTTAATATCCTTTGCGTTCAAATTTAATCCGCGAGCTGTTAAATCTCTCTGTAATTTTTCAACATCTGCCAACTTTTCATCAAAGTCCAAATATGGTGTTAAAAATATAAAGTGTTCTTTGCCTTTGCTATCTGAAGGAAACAGTACAGAACTATATTGTCTCTTAGATTTTAGTAGTTTACTGACATATTTCAAAGCATTGTGTCATGTTAAATATTTAAAAAAATCTTTAAAAAATTTTATTTTTTATAGTTAGAGGCAAGTGTTGCTTTTTATGAAACTTAATTCCTATGCATCCACTTTTGCCACTTTAGATTTTGAAGAAAATTCTGACTCAAGATCCATATTAAAATTATCTCGTGTTATTGTCTCAATCTTTCTCTTTTGTGGTGCAATGTAGTTTCCTTTTCCTGCAGCCCTTTCTGATTCCTCAATAGAATATGGTTCCAATTCAAGAGCTTTCAATCTACGTTTATGTACTTTTGTTGTAATATGATCTTGTAAAGCAGTATCATTTATAAAGTATCTCCTATAAAAAGAAATTTGTTTAAATATTCACGATATATGAATAAAAATATTAAAAGAATTGGATTTTGGATGCGAAGAATAGTTGTTTACATGCATGGGTAACCAATGCAAATTTCGTGTCGCAATGCAGGTTAAGTTGTTTAAAATGGTATACTATATTATAACATGAATACTTACGCGCAATGAACACAATAATATTGGCCTGCTCCAGGTTTGTCTAAATCAACTTCCTGATTTAGTAAATTTGTTATATTTTTATCTTTCAAATCTTCATCAATCTAAAATAAAGAATGTCGCACAACAATTGCCGATCATATTCATCCACGTGACGTAAGTGGTTTCAAATAAAAAATAGGTTAGGTTGTATTACCTCATCTAAATCTTTCGTTTTCCTCTTGGTTCGCCACCCTTTTTTTAAATGAGTATCTCCTCTGTGATACTTCTTACGTTTGTAAGTCATTTTTTATGAACAGACAATTAAGACAATACAATTAAATCATACTGTTATTGCATTGGCACTAACACACAAAGACGTTCTAACCATACAAGGATGAGAAATTAGGTGAATGTAAAGAGATTACTATGTTAGCAATAACGTGTTTATTTTAAATTTACGGAAGAAGATTTAATAAAATAAATGACAAAGAAAAAGTTACATATAAAATTTGATACATTAAGTTTTAAAAAATTCATAGGAAGTAAGAAATAAGGGGAACTTTAAAAATCTTTCTGGTACGTTTTCATAGGAATCAGTTGTCGTTTTAAAAATATTTAAAAATTAGGGATTTTAAATTACAATTGCATATAAATGTTTTATATCCTGTATATATTTTACAATTTTAATATATATGAAAATGGTAAAAATTTATTAACGTAACAAAATTTTTAATAGCTTAATAAATACTGGTGAATTTTTAGTGTTGCTATTGGTCAAATAACGTCATGGCGGCATTGCTCTTATGAGAATTCGTAAAAAGGTTATAATGGTGATACATTTTTCAGTGGTAAACGTTGTGAGTAATATCAATATTCATTATTATCTCCCTGCTATAATAACCTTTTCGTACAGTTCTTTTAAACCTCGATAAAACTGCAATGAATTAGCATTTTTGTGAAATCAACTTAAAGTATGCAACAAATTGAATGTGATACCACAAACGATAAATCTACAAGAAGTGCCTCATCAAAATCTAAATTCCAACTGAACGTTACTTGTTGCGTGATATTGAAATTAAAGATATAAAACAACTTTGAAAGTAAACTTCGGAAAAGGTAGATCAGAATCAAAGTAAAGAGAACATATTCGTAAAAGGGCATGCGCAGTACAGTGAAAAAGCAGTTACTTTGAAAGCGTACGTAACGCTACATGCAAACCGCTAGATGTCAGCATAATATCCCAGAGTAGGTCGCGCCTCTATCGGCGAAGCCCATGATCAATTCAAACGGTGCGCCACTGACGAGGGGGGTCCACACCATTTTGAAAGTAAAAATACTGCGCGACCCGGGATTTTGTTTGTACGGTTCGGCGAGGGTAAAAAAGCGGCGAGGGCTAGGCTGTGGTACGGTCGGGGCAACGCGGTATCGCGCGTAAAATGACGTAGAGTGTGCGAGGGTGTGCCGCGTGCGGTACGAGGTGTGTGCTAGCGGAAACGGTGTCGCGGTGTGTTAGGGTCGGCGCTGCTCGTAGCTATCGTAGCGTACGGGAAATTGGCTGTGGCTTCGCCAATGGATGCCAGGCAGGAGGAGACGCCATTTTGATATACGGGCGCACGTCAAGCGTTCGCTCGTAGGGAATCGCGCCTCTCGAGAGTCGGTCTGCCGCTCGGCTAAGTACCGCGCGGGTGAATTCGTTGGTTTGCGAGGTACAACGGGCATCATTGGTACGCGAGTGCGTGTGGCGCAACCACGGATCGGAGGCGTTTCGTTGACAAGTGACAGGTGAATCGATCGGGCCGCGAGGAAAGTCGCGTTGCGGCCCCGTGTGCAGCTCGTAACACACTCGGTTCGCTCGGTTGATCGGTAGTGACTACTGTGTGTGGACCTACTACGTGTAACGATTCGGGATTTTTCCCCACGCGTGGCGAGTTCAGTGCGAGGGACACGGTAGTAGCAGCCGCTCGTGTATATTGGTGCCGCCGGATTCCGGGGTGGCGGTGTACGGCAGGGAAAAGCTTCGGGCCAGGACAAGACGACCCGATGTCGGGAGCGGGTCGCGACCCCGTGTCGACCCGTGGTCGTCCTCGTCCTCGCGCGTCCATCTCCTACACAGCACCAGGACGCTCCTGGCGTAAATGTGCTCTCATGAGCTCACATGTGCACCTCTCTTCTGCCTGCCTGCTGCCCCTACGTGCCCTGTAAACCCAGAGCACACCCCGATTAGCACGCCCACGCACTATAGCACTCGCGAATATGGCCAAGATCCTCAACAAGGACCCCGTCACCTACGAGAGGGAGAGGGAAAACTTCATGAAGGACCTCCGTCACTTCCATGAGACCAGAGGGTAAGACCATCTCTCTCTCGTTACTTCGATTGTTCTATTATTTACCTCTATCTCGATTCTCACCGATAATTATTTCTTTCCGTTTTGCTCGTTTTCATCTCATACTTTTTTTTTTACGTTTTACCCGATCGGATTCTATCATCATTACGATACAATTCACAATCGTATCTTGGGTCTGGTTCGAAAGTAAATCGGGTTAGCGTTCCTACGTACAGTGTGTGGATAAAGTTGAGGTTATGTACGTTTGGTTGAAAGTTTCCCAGAGACACACTCGCCTTTGTGCAAGCCATTTGTTTACGCGTGTTTTCTTTATCGACGATTATCGGGACAGCGTATCTTATTGCGATTGAGGTTACGTACAATCGAAAATGAACAATATCATAGTGAACTTGTTGATTTTTTTTTTCCCTCTTAAGAGGCAATTTACGTCGACCGACGTTACGAGCGTTGTAAATGCCACGCTTTTTTGGATCGGCAGTTAGATTTCTGATACATGCTTAGAGCTTTCGAATAACTGAGCATCATTTCACGCGAAGACGCTGCCGTTTATTACGTCATTGTGTTCGTGTTTTACTCGATTCGGAAACGGAAACAAAGCGTTCTCGATTATACCAAGCGATCTTAACCTCAGTGGGAATCTTTAGTGTTACAGAAGTGGCGTATTCGTTGTGAACGTGTAAAATATGAACGTATACATATTGAATTTTTTATAATTTTAAATATAACCTCTGATTCATTGCTGTTGTTATTGATCATAATATTTTAATATTATTTAACGTCATTTTTTTTGTATAAATTTTTCTTTTATTGAACTGTACGTTGTATTAATATATGCAATAACAATAAGACGTTAGCTTTCTTTTTATATTTTAATATTTACTGTTACAAATATAATATAAAATTCACATTTTGTAACTCAAGCGATTTTATTTATTTTTTATTATATTACTCAATTTATACAAATTTTACAAACTATGCTTTTCTCATTTTTCAGGACTTCGTTTAAGAAAAATCCGAAAATCAATGGAAAAGATATAGATCTGTACTTGCTGTACGTTGTCGTTACTGCCCATGGAGGATGGATAAAGGTGAGTCCATACAATTGCATATTACATTTCCCTATGGTTTTTTAAATATTTTCGTTCGTTTTGTCATTTTTTTTTCTTCCTACTCGTTCCGTACTGAAGAAAATATATGTATGTTTGGTGTGATTCGCGATGCGCTGTTTAGCGTAATTCCCAGCGGGTCTAATGAGCGAAAAAATTCGGATATATCACGTAGCCCGGGTGTAATTTGTTTCCGTGTCGTTAGTGCAATGTGTGAATAGAGCTTCAGCGCACTGACGGCCACAGTGTTTGCGCTCACGCGTTCATTTCATACATTGTTGTACGCCAAATTCGTATAATTGTACGAAATCGACAGAATGGGATGTTTATTTTTGAGCGTGTGTGTCGCGCCATTTGCAAATTTGAATAATTGACAAAGAAAAAATGAAGACGACCATAAAAAAGGCTGTAAGTGCCATTGAACTTTTATCTTTTCTTATAATATTAAACTCTTTTTTTTTTGTTAATTAATGAGATTAAAATATTAAAATAAGAATATTTTAAGATTATACAAGGTGGTTCATAAATCGCTTTACCGTTTAAAAATAGAATATTTTTCTTTCTTTTAAGTGTTTTAAAATTGTTGTGTTTTGTTTTTATTATGTTGTAAAACTTACATAGTAAAGCGATTTATGGACCACCCGGTATAAAGTAGTGTGATACATGTAAAAAATAAGTTTTGATATGTTTTGTTAATAAACAAGTTTGGTAGCGAAAAAATTTTTGAAACTTTTTTTTATTGACACTTACAACCTTCTCTATGTTCAATCTTCAGTTGAAAAGAAAGTACCGGACATTATAGGAATTTTTTTTACAGTCATAAATTAGAAGTGAAGTAAAAGCGGATTTGCAATATTAATTTTACATTAAAAGAAAAATTTTATTTCTCTTATTTTGCGCTGTAATAGGGTTTTAGGAATAGTTAACTGAAAGGAACAGGAAATTTTACTGACACGTTTAAAAAATATACAAAATAACCCTAGAATATCCACATTTTATAGGTATAATCCTCGCAGAGTACGTTTATGGCCAATCAGTGAGCAAAATTCCAAGGATAGCAGCTGTTGTTATTCAGTTTTGTTTAATTATTGCAATTCTTACCGCGAATTCGTTTCTTGTTTTCGAAATCATGACATAATTGTTGCCATTATATTTTTTACGTTCAAATTAAAATGTTGGATAAGGCTTGAACGCTAGGGAATTTATATCTATTAAAAAAATAATCTTGGATGTGATATTTTCTAGCAAAAAATTTATATTTTTATTATTTGCGTGTTATATTGAATTGTTAAAAGTTTGTAGTTTACTATGCAGGATGTTTTCATTGAAAATATACATATAGGATTGTCTACCATTAGCAAAAAGGAAACTGTACTCTAAATAGAAGTAACAAAAAGTTATTAAATATCCTCTTCTTATAGTGCAGTATAAAAAGGAAGAAGTAATATCTTATTTTACAATATTAATCATCTGTGTCAATACTAATTGTACTTTGAACAGGTTAAGTGCAGTTCTTTATCAATATATTTTCTTTTATTTTTATGATTATGTTATTCCGTATTTCTACAATACTTTTATCGTCTATTAATGGTTATATATAATGCTTCTCCGAAAATTTGCCAAAAATGAAATTCCAGCAAGGTAATGTTCAGAAAATTAATTGTAATTTTTCCAGATAAAATAAAAAAATAACTGCTTTTTTTTGTGTGTAAAGTAACCTTACAATTAACTATTCAATTCTTTTGTTATTTTTTCGAACGTTTTCTCACGTTTTTAACGACAAAGGAAAAAAGTATTATTTTCTCAAGATACTTTTCCACAATATTTTCTTGTTATTTGTACTCATACCGCATGTTGCTGTAATTTATTCATTCAATTCTAGGACAGGCGATATTTGTAACGTACTCACAGGCACTTTTAATACACGTACCTTCTTGAACGATAAAATCACTCGAATACGTAACTCTATATAATTGTCTTGAGTAGTACAAAACTAATCGCTGTCCGAATACTCGGAAGAAGAAAGCACGAAGTGAACTTGTTTCGTCTTTACTATTTCAATCTGTCTATTAAGATATTTCATACATGTGAGATAAGATTGTCTTTAAATATTGAAAGTAAAACTATTGTTATCACTAACTAAAATGCTATTCGAATACTCTCGACAATTTAAATTACCAAAATTAATTATTTTTCTCATGTTCACCTTGTGAATCGATGTATTGTTAGGTTAGGTTATACACTTTTCAGAACTATAAAAATAAAGTTGTTCCTTCTGCTATCTTTAAAATGTAAACAGAAAAAAAGAAAAAAATACTACCTGAGCATATACAAAGATATCAATAAACTACTAAATTTCACTTAGAAACAAGCTTAATGCACTACGATGAAAGTTTTCAATTTCAATTATTCTACATTCTAGCGCTTTTTAACTGAAAACCGTCCAAAGTAAACGTGTCAATAATTAAAGTAGTCGGGTCATTCCACCACATTCCGAGGTTCGCGAATTACTGGAAGTATCATCGTGAGCGATCGGGTGCTCGATTCGGTTCACCTCGGCTCGTTTACCTAGCTCGAATTTCGAGCACACGAGTGCCCCCGAAGGAGGGGTGGAGGGGGTGGACCTAGCGCGAAAAGCGCGCATTCCTTACTACTGTTCGGTGTATACGTAGAAATACATAATATAACCTTCAACATCGTTATGAAATTATTAAGATCATAGAAAAATGATTCACTTTGAAATTTTTATACTAAAAGTAGAACTATCGTTAAGTAACCCAAAAAGTTTATATAGTTTTTCCCCTATTAAATAAATGATACGCAAACCCGAATTATGTTCGATTTAATAGACATTTTAAGAGAGCCCAACTTCGCTGAACAACGAAGTGCATTATTTGACTGACCGGTGTTTATGAAACCTGATTGACCTCCACTGAAAACCACATCAATTTTTTGTTTTGGTTACTTGATAGTTAAAATGACTGTAAAATATAATCGAAATTATACACTATTTCTTGTACCAACATAATACGTGCCCTAATGCTTACGAACGATAGCGTGTATTGTACATTTACGCGGACAGTCGTTTCGATCCGTCGCGTGTGATTAATGATCGAGGAATGCGCCGCGGAAACGCGGGAAAATGATCGTTTCATGAAGTAGCCACGTTTTTCTCTGTTCGATAGCGTTGCGTGGGAGGAAAAGTCCACTCAAGTGTTGTCTCTGTATACGACGCCTTTCTCATTGACCCTTTGACTGCGAATGTACTACTATCAGTCGCAGTTGTATGATAAATTTGAACAATTTATTTATTTTAGTATATGTCAAATGTTTCTCAAGTAAGATTAATTCAGTTGAAACTGCTGTATATACTTTTAAAGCTGATTTTTTCAATATTCTGCATCAATGTATACCTAACCTAACTTTATCTTTTTGGGCATCTTGTACATATGTACATATGTAAATACAATTTTGTGATATATACACCACGCATTTCTAGAAATTGATAGATTACATATCATTATACAAAGTACTTAAAAACAAAATACACTCACATGGAAATAATTTTTTTAGAGAAACAGAACATTTACGTGTATATTCTACAATATCATTGTTATGTCAGTCTGTGCGTTAATTTCTTCATTATACAGGGTGTTTTAGAAAATTTGGTCTTACAGAAACTTACGGTAAAGATGAAATAAGAGAAACAATACATTTGTTAAAGAAAACAAAATCGTGGTAATACTATATATCATATTAACAAATGTATTTGTTAATATATTGTTCTTGGAATCTTCTCTTCTTTGCGAAAGAAAATAACTTATTTAATGTACTTTGAATAATGTTTTTAATACATATCTTAATTAAAGGGTTAGGAAGGGGGAAAAAAGTATTAAAACAATATGGTTCTATTTCGCCAGTTATGACGTTGCGCAGACCGCCACGTGGGCTCGCCGTTGAGTTTATAAACAGTAATTTACACGCGCGCGATACTGATACGCGCACGCAACATCACAATCCACGAATTTTGTAGAAATCACGACGATTAGTGTATCTAGACATTTTTTGTTTTTATAATAAGCTTACATATTTTATCATAGCCTGCGCGTTGATTCCTTTATTACACAGGATGATTAAAGCAAAATTGCCTCTAAAGAAATTTATGGCAGAGATGAAATAAAACAAACATTATTTATCAGTATACAAGGTGCTTCAAAAAAATATTAACAAATACATTTTGTTTTCAAAGAGTCTCTGGCCTTTCTTCTTTATTCCAAAGATAATTTCATTGTCATTTCAATCTGTTGCAAAGAAAAGAAAAGAAAATATGTACACATACAAATTCTTCATGTGTTAAATTTTTTAATATTATATGAATGTTTATTTACTAAAAAGTCAAGAAGATGTAAGGACAGTAGCATAACAAATATACCACTGTAGATGTATTTTAATAGATGGATTAAAAGATTTTTGTAAAAAATGAAATTTTATGTAAAAAAAGAAAAGAGAGAACAGAGAATGTTTTTACTGCTTTCCTTAATGAGTCCACTTTTTTTGGAATAACCTGTATATGAGAATGGTGGGATTGATTTTATGTGACTTTTTATTAGCATAAATGATGAATCTGTTTTTTATATATTGTTCGACTATACGTTTGAATGTAGTTTATAAACTTTGAACGGTGATTCAGACTTTCCGATGAAATAATTGGTCGTCCGTTTGATTCACGTAGTAGTTTTTGATTCGTGTAACGTAACGAGGTCTCTTTGTACAGTGGTGAGTAACGAAGCGATTGAAACGATTTAATCGCGGTATCCTTGGTTCTGCTCTCCGTTCGCATTGTTAATTCGGTTTGTTTTAAAAGGTAAGCTTATCGTGATATTAAATAACGCTTTTTTTCGTACTTGAGAAATTGTCCTTTAAACAAATTTTAATATTGTGCAAAATTGTTTAGTATTTTTTAGTATTTAATTTTTTAACGA